TAAATCTATTAGTCTTTAAGGTGCCACCAGACTCTTGTTGTTTTTGTAGATACAGACTAACACAGCTACCCCCCGATACTTAAACCTCTTTGTCTGTCTGTTGTCATACATATAGGTAGGGCTTTTTAAAAGGTATAAAATAAAGAAAAATATTACACTGTCAGAATCCTATAAAATTAACTAGAACCTAGTTTAGATTAATAATTTGGCCACCTCCTTCACTGTAAATCTTCTTTCTCCCTCTCTCCAAAAAGTTTTTAAATGTAATTTAGCCATAAGATCAGAAAGGGGCCAACTTCGTAAACTTCTTGTCAAGAGGGAGGTGGCAGCAGAAGGAGTGAGTAGGTTGGGAAGTTGGGCTCTGCTTCAACTCCCGTTAAATCAAAGGAAGTCTTTCTGCTGATGTGTGAGTGTTTCTTTGAGCCCCTTCTGAGAGCCACAAGGTGGCAGTAAGTGAGGAAACCAGTAACTTTATTACTGGTATGATAGACAGTCCTGTTATGCAGTGAAACAAATGGAGCTAGGGTGACCAGACAGCAAATGTAAAAAATCGGGACGGGGGTGGGGGGTAATAGGAGCCTATAGAAGAAAAAGACCCAAATATCGGGACTGTCCCTATAAAATCGGGACATCTGATCACCCTAAATGGAGCGCACCATTGAATTGCCACATTTATTAATGTAGACATAATTTTTGAAATGGGGGGCCCCCCAAAAAACAGATCTGTATGCTTTTCTTTTTTGTATTTGGGTCTGAATTAATATTAAGTATAACTTTTTAAATAGCTCTTATAAGTAAACTAGGAACATAAATATTAAAATGTACTTATCTTTATTCTCAAAGCTTCATTCAGTACAAAATATTTTCAACTTTGTGACTCAGTTTAAGAAAAAACATATTGAACTACATTTAATCATTTCATTGCTACTTACGTGGTAGGTGAGGCAAAACATCATTCCAAAAGTGACCTAATTGGTTGACCAAATATGTTAATTTTCTGTGTTGACTGAAGATATCCAGAATGAAACATTGCAATCCATCATCTGTGATGAGACTCCTGATTCTTAGGGTGTCACAGAATGCTGCATTGTGGAACGCTTTTGGTGAACCAGTAAATTAACAGATATTGAGGGGGGGAGGAGTGTAACGTTACATAGGATTTGTTTACACTCTGGATTTTAGCTTTTTGATCAATGTAGTTATAATGGCACAAACCCCAATGTACGCACAATACATGGTTGTAAACTGTCCACGCTAGAAGTTTGTATTATTATAACTATGTCAGTATGGCTTCACTGGTGGCTAAAACCTCTATAGACAAGGGATTAATGCCTCAGTCACTCTTAAATATAGAATTTAGGCTCCTAGAGTAACTTGGGCACATTAGAAAATTTACCCAAGGCCGTAGTGAAAACTTACTTGTGTGCAGAATGTCACCCTTCTATTTCACCATTCTAGTTATGGTGACTCATTTTAACTCAGAATCTGTGTTCACTCAATTGTTTTTGCTTTACAGTTAATCTTCAACGTTTGTTTAGTTTTTTGGAGTGTTCCTCCAAAGCCCAAAAGGGTTACTGCTCCATCATGTTTAAATTTTCTACTCCCATTCATTCTTTATTTATTTATTTATTTATTACTGAGCCCTTTCTCTTGCTCACCTTTCACCAAAGTTAATCTAATATATTTACCAAAAAACCCTAAGTCAAAACAATGCCCCCACTCACCCTGCTTATATTGTGCTTCTAAAAATGTATTTTAAAAATGCCTTAACTACTTCTCTTGAGACACACATGGAGATCATTTTTTATGTTCTCTCATCCTATTCTAAAAGGCTCAGGGGGAACTCTGCCTGAACATGCTTTAATCAAGAGGGCATTTCTTTTCTTTTCAATAATTTTGTTTCTCTTTAAATTTCTATTATGAAGAGTATTAGTAAGGTCTCTTTAGCATTTGTTGTCTGCAGACCCTTATGCAGAGATGAAAATAAACTATAGGGGAAAAATATAAAGGAATGTAAAGTATATGATTTTATATTTTGTAGAAAATAACAGGTTTAATCTATTTAAACAGATTAATTGCTTATTTTGCTCAGTAAGGCCCTGAATGTACAAACAGTTATACATGTGTGTAACTTGATCCACATGTATATTGGGGCCCAAGAGAATATCACTATAACTTTAAATGCTGACAAAATTAAATACTTTTCTTTTTCTCAGGCATATATCGGGAGCAGATCTCTTTCTTTGTGCAAGCTATATCTATAACCATTACTGTGACTGCAAGGACCAGCACTACTACCTGTCAGGAGATAAAATCAATGATGTCCTTTGTCTTCCAGTAGAGAAACTGTCTTGCATTAGACCAATATTGGCATGCCAGGATAGAGTCCTTAGAGTTTTACAGGTTAAAAATCTTTGCTTTTTTGTCACTTCCTTTACTGGTACCATAGAACCTCACTAATTCACGCAACTGACTATAAGATCCACTCCATGCATCTGAAGAAGTGGGTTTTTTACACACGAAAGCTTATGCTCAAATAAATGTTAGTCTCTAAGGTGCCACCGGACTCCTTGTTGTTACTGTGAATTATTGAATTTTGTGAAATGTTAAGTAAGCAAACAAACACAATTTTAAAATATCAAATCTAACACATCATGAAGTATGCTTTGTATATTGGCTATAAATATTCTACAGCATATTTTATAATGTAGTAGTAGTCGTCATCTACTCTTAAATCTGCTGAGAAGTGAGATGAGTGCTCTTTTTGATAAGAATTAACATTTGTAGGCTAGTGAGGTAAGGATTAGTGAAATTCTGCTTAAAGATGTGTGGTGTGCACGTGCTTAGACCTTGATCCTGCATTTTACTCACATGTATCGTTAACTTAAGCTATAGTTCCTTATAATTTAAGTGAGTAATCCCATTGATTTCAATGGCACTACTCATATGAGTAAAATTTAAACACATGTTTGTAGGATGGGAGCTTAAATCTGTCTCTCATAACATATACATTTTCAATTTGAATAAATCACTTAATCAGATCAAGTTTTATTAACTCTATAAATCATAAAAATAATTATGTGAAAGATCATTACATGTATACCAGACATGCCAACCCCGGGGAAAAAAATGCAGAAATTGGGCTTGTTTTTGGCTTAATTGGCTTGCGAGTTGCTTGTTGGCTAGCTTTTTGGCTTGTAGCTTGTTACTCCTTTTTTTTTTTTGATTGGCTCCTGACAAGCAGGAGGAAAGTGGGGGAGAGAGTCAGGGGTGCACAACGGGCCCACCACAGTCCCAGGCTGCACGCTGGGGGGATCTAGTTGAATAGAGTTTGGGGATTCTTAGGGATTGGCTTGTTTTGGCCTTGTTTTGAAATGGGATTCGCTTGATTTTTGGCTTATTGTGAAAGTTTGGGGTGCTTATTTACCACGTAAAAGTTGGCAACTGAATTGGTACATGAATTTTCAGGTTATATTGCCACAAAAACTGAGTTTAAAAACACTAGAAATACATTTTAAACATCTTATTTAACATCTTTTAATAAAAAAACAGTCTTGTACTCCATTTATACACTTCACTGTTCTGTAGTTTTGAAAGATTACCAACACACATAGCAAGTTTATCCATACGTGTAACACAGAATACACATACTTATGCAATTTTAAGTGATTTTTTTTTTAAATGGATCATTTTAAAAACTCTTTTCTTTCTTCTTCATCTGTAGGGGTCTGATTTGCTATATGAAGTGGAAGTTTCTGGACCGCCTACTGTTCTTGCTTTAAACAATGGAAATGGTGGTAACTAGATCTTAAATATATCAGTATTTCACTGAAATGTATTTTAAATAAAAGTATCAAAATCTGGATGTCTTATTTACAAATATTGTAGAACCTTGGTTAACATTGTCTAGAAGTGAAAAATGCAGAAAGGGTCACAGCTCTGACCATGCAGTTTTTTCTTATAATAGTTTACATATAACATTTCGTAGCTTTGATAGAATTTGACTGATAAACTTTTATGTCAGAACATTTCTAATTAGCTCATTGCCAAAAACAGAATTGCTGTGGTTAAGAGACAAAGCAAGATTCCTGTTAGTCTTTTTTGTTCAAAGTGTCATATGTCCAAAGCTCCATTTTTCATACAGAAACATAACTAGCACTTGTGTTATTAAATGCAGCCTTTGTCCACTTCAGGCAGGAGTAAGAGGCTAAGGCCCGGCCTAAACCAGTAATTTACTTCAGTTTAGCTACATCTTTCGCAGGTATGAGAGACGGCTATACTGACCTAACCCCTGGTGCAAACTAGCACTAGGTTGATAGAAGAATTATTCTGTCAACCTAGTTACCATCTCCTAGGCATAGGGAATTCATCTCCTCATGGGAGAAGCCCTCCTGTCAGCATAGGTAGTGTCTACATTGAAGTATATGGTGGTGCAGCTGTGCCACTGCAGTGTTTTAAGCATCCACAAGCACTAAAAGGCACGAAGTGGAACTTCAGGGACTATCGTAGCCTCCTATCTGGACATGGTGAGAGAGGCCAGCAGCGATTTAGGCATGGGGGTTGTTCAGGAGGTGAAGGACTTGATAGTTTCTCCCACACACCTTTTTCTGTCTCTGGTCCTGATTCTCTTTTATTCTAAGACTCTTTACACCACTTTGGCAGTGTAAAGGGGCCACAAAAGGGAGTGCAAATTGCATTTACATTCCCTTTAAGGTCCTTTTAAACTATCACTGATATGAAAAGTAACATTACTGTAAATGAAAAACAGGGCCTTTGCCTTTATTTTTTGTGTGATGTAGGAATTCTTTTCATGGACATTGATCTTTCACTGTGCCGTGGATTTCTTTACATTTATCTTCAGTAGCTGTGATTTGGTGAATGAGAAGGTTGAGCAGAGCTGTCATGATCCGAGCGTATGGAGGAGAGATGTAATTTAGGTTTGGCCTAAATTTAAAAATCACATCCCTGACCAACATAGTTATGCCAGGCTAACCCCAAGGGTAGATGCAGCTATGTCAACAGAAGAGTGCTTATGTCAATGTAGCTAACGTTGTTCAGGGAGGTGGTGTTCCACACTAGTGAAAAACCCCTTTTGGCGGTGTAGGCTGTGTCTACACTATGGGGTTATGCCAGCATACCTATGCTGACATAGTCTCTGTAGGGTAGACACAACCTTAAAGTTTAAAATTGTTTAGCCAGCCCTTTTGCTATCTTCTGTCACCTGAATTTAGCACTATAGGTCAAAAAAATTAATGAATGGCTCTAATCCGGCTCCTAATCCATTTTCTTTCAGTCAGGCCATTTGAAAGTAGCACTGTGATGGCAGCAGCTGGTTTGGGAGTGAGAATAAGTTTCCCTTTTAAATCCCACTTAGCAGAAGCTGGATTCTGTAGCCCTTATCCAGCGAGGTAAATGAGTGAGGTAGTTTTGTCTTTTTGAAGACCTCTCCACAAACCATCTAATGGGGGTGGGGGAAGAGGAATGGAAGGGAAGTACTTCTCTTGCTAGTCTTTTTCAGAAGCTGGGGAAAATATCCTTACTTTAATGTATTCAGTATTTATATAATTGATGTCCTGCTCCTTTTACATTAACAGCTATTGAGTTGAGTGAGAGATGCACACATGTAAGAAGAACAGGAAAGAACAAATTATTAAAATACCCATAGTTTTCAAGATGTTTGAGTGTCCATCTTCTGAAGTTCTAGCCTTGTTTCTTCCACTGTGTTTTGAAAAAGTCTGGTAACTCTGTTGCAGAACATGAATTTGAATATTTTGTGATTCATACATTACATTCTAAAGGAAAATATTAAAGAAAAGACTTAAGTCCTTAAAATATTTGAATAGTTTAAAATATAATAAATAGATGTAAAAAATAGAACCAATATAGTACCTATATGCTTAGGTGATTCTGGAGAAGAACTTCTGTTTGGAACATCTGATGGGAAAGTTGGTCTCATTCAGGTTTCAAGTGCATCTCCGGTACATAAGTGGGAAGTCAGAAATGAGAAGAAGAGAGGAGGTATGTATCTTGGTAATCTTTCCAGATCATTGGTATTCCATTATACACCAGGCCGTATGAAATAAAGTTACTAGTAAATTTCATTATTACTTATGGGTATTTTTTGTGTTATAGTAAATATTTTGAAGATAAATCACAGTTTTGCCTGTATATTACAGTAACTTGAGTACTCCGTTTCCTTGCTCCTGACCTCTTGCTGAAGAAGTTTTTGTCTTGGGTTTTTTTTTTTCTTATTCTTCATGCAGGTTATTTCCAGTTCTTATTTAGTATGCTTTTGTTTACTATTTTAAGGTGACCTTTTAAAAAATAAACTCCTTTAAATTATTTTATATATATAATTTGACTGTCTGCTGTTGTGGTGGTTGTACTTATAAGTCCAAATATGAAAATCATATTTTTCCAAACCTGTGGCATTTTGAATTCTTCCCCCAGCACAGGTTATCACTGTCCCTGTGTAATACTGTTTTTTGTCACTTTGTACCTGCTTTCAGTCTGAGGATTGGCCAAGGCTCTTTTTGACGCTCCACTATTCTTTAAATGGCCAAAAATTATTGCTTTGATTTCCAGGACATTGATTCCCTTTTATTTTTATGCTGCCTCTGCAGCAATATCAGGTGGTGTTCCTCTGAAAAGGGAAGGACCATGAATAGAACCCAGTTATCACATGTGCTTGTAGAGCATGCTGCTATGTTCATTCTTTTGTCACTCAAAAATATTTTTAGTAAACTTCTTAGTATTACGTCATTTTTCAAATATGAGTTGTGATTTTGCGTGACTCAAATGCTTTAAAGGGGCCTGAATCTTAGATTTGGTTTTGGGTTCTTTACAATTGATTTCTATTAAGTCTCTTTATTTCTGTGCTTTGCATTGGAATATAGTTCTGTTTTTTACCTACTTAGTCCAGTACATTGTTTCTCATATCAAAGTGATGAAGTCACTCATTTTACTCAGAAGCCAAAAATGGCGTTAATAAAACCTTACAAACTTAGCAAGAATGCGCTGTCAATTTGGTTTTTTTAAGACTATTAATGCACTGTAATACCTTTTTCATGGGCTACTTTGCAAATAGTTCATTGAGAGACAAAAGGTGAAATGAGCAGTCAGTTTGTTGTTCATAAGATGGTTTTTTTTAATTTATTTATAGGTATCTTATGTGTTGATAACTTTGACATTCTGGGTGATGGAGTTAAAGAATTACTTGTTGGCCGAGATGATGGTATGTTAGAAATCTATAACTTCGATAGCACAAATGAGCCTGTCCTTCGATATGATCACGTAAGCTCATCACAAGAAATGCCCTCTTCACAGGGCATATTTTAAACTTATTTGCTTTAAATTAGAAAAGAAATGAATTATAATTGTTTAATTTCTTAATTTTTATTTGTAACTATATTTAGGGTCCTGCCAAATTCACAGCCTACCAAAAACACATCACAGACTGTGAAATCTGATCTCCCTGTGAAATCTGGCACTCACCCTGGGGCTCCTACCTTCCGCAGGCCTCCAGTTGCTAGTCCCAGCCAGGGATGGGGAGGGATGAGATTTCCTCTTCCACTGAAGGGGGCCCCGCCTGGGGCGGGTTAGACATACCTCCGGGATCTGCCCCAGCTGAAGGAAGCTCCGTGGCTCCAGCTGTCAGCCCCCGGCTGCAGGAAGCTCCACGGCTCCACTTGAGAGACTGCTGAGGGTAGCACTCCCATGGCCCCCCTACAATAGCCTTGTGACTTTTCCCACCCTGACCGCCTTTTGGGTCAGGCCCCCAACCGTTACACCACCCTGAAATTTCAGATGTAAACATCTGAAAACGTGCCATTGACTAATTTTAAAACCCTGTGGCCGTGAAATTGACCAAAATGGACTGTGAATTTGGTAGGGCTCTAACGATATTGTTACACAGCTAAACCAATGGTATGCCATAGATATGTATTTGCATTGTCTTTCTTGCCCTTCAGTCATTATTAAACATTTTATATAAATTTATTTATTTAAATGGTCTGCAGCCGTTCTGTCTGCATGGTATAGCTATATTCTTATGTGCTGTCAAAGAGTGTTTAAAAGGTGGTTTGTTCAGTGCTGAACTTCATTTTATTTTTAGGCACACTGTATAATAGCAATTACAAAAATGGCCAAGGGCTTACCTAAACTGTTAAGAATTAAAAAATGTTATTTGTATTTTAAAATTTTATGCTTCCATGTAATGGTAGAAACCCCAACGCAAAAGGAATATGCTAATATGTGAGAACCAGAAAATGAAACAGGCCAGTCAATTTGAATGAAATGCTAAAATTAAACAGCACAAATGGTAAACATACATTTTGAAAGTTCTCTCTTTTTTTTTTTAATAACTTAAGATGGTGTTACTAACTCAGGTTAGTAAAACAATCTAAACAAAACAACACTCAACCAAACACAAACCACCCCCAAAACTTTAAAATGTATTGATTTTTTTCCCCTCTTAAATAAACAAGTGACTCTTTAAAGTTTATACTTTCTGGTATGGCTGTATTTATTACTAATTGTTTAAAATAGTGGATTTAATTCATAGTCACTCTTCTTTCCTTCCAGCACATTCTGGTAATTACTGTTTGAAAATTAGACTGTGCATCAAGGTTTTACTTTATAAACCAGTTCCTAATATGTCTTTCAAGGTACATATACAGCAGAACCAAAAATATATGTGCTGAAACACAATAACAAGTAATTAAGTATTTCTTATACTTTTGAGCTGTTGTGCATCTGAATAGATTTTTCTGCACTACAATTACAGAAGGGGAAGTGGTTTTTTTTTTCTTTTCTTTAAACAGCGCTCATATAAAATGAATAAAGTAATGTATCTCCTGAGTGCTCGTCTGTTTTTATTTTTTAGGCCTTGTCAGAGAGCATCACATCTATCCAGGGTGGCTGTGTAGGAAAGGATGGGTATGATGAAATCTTAGCATCCACATATTCAGGTAAGTTGTCTATTGAATACTTAAAAGAATTTTGGCTATTGGTATTATAATGGTTAAGCAAACTGTGCTGTTAATGGAGCTGGAATTTTATTAATACAGTGTAACTTGTTCTGGTTACAAAAGAATAGTATTCTGGCACAAAATTCTCTGCTTTTAAAATACTTCTGAGTGTGGGAAACATTTTATTGTATATATTTTAAATTGCATTAAAACCCTGTGATTTTTCACTTTATATCTCACTGTAGTATACTACAGCAGTTAGTTATTGTCCGGTATAGGCAGCTGTATAACAGTGATGAGTACATTAGAAATGTTTAGATTTTATACATGATGGAATTGTTTACGGTTTCATAATTTTGTAGTTGTGAATATTATCTTTTTTTGGTTCATTGTCCTGTCTTTTCTATGTTCCTCTTAGTCATGAATATGCATCTTGCTAGGTGTCTTAACAGCTTTGCTTTGCTTCTTTTGCCTTTTCAGTAGTGCTAAACTTTTGGAGCTGTCAAAGCGGCCAGTTTTGAGAAATTAGAAAACAAGTTTACCTTTCGTAAGGAGGCTTATGTAGACTTGAAGTCTTCAGTAGACCCTCAGTAGCACTGGTCTGTCCGTGAGGGACATCTAGTAAGAAAAGTGTTGTATATGTTTTGCTCAATAGTTTAAAACAGTAAAAGCTCACTTTTTAAAAATTATTGTTAGGTTTCAAATCTGATTTGCTGAAATCCAAGTTTTAATTGTGTTAACCTTTATAGTAGGTTTTAGACTGAGTCAATGGCAAATGTTTACTTTGTGTGTACAGTGCAGTCCGCAGAAGGCTAACAGGCTGTGGGGCAGATCCTCATCTGGTGTAAATTGTTAGTTCCATTGCCTTAGTAGTATGAGCTATTACAATTTATACCAGCTGAGGATCTGCTCTAAAGTCTCCCTGCGGTTCCTCACTGTCTGTGATAATGTTACTGTAAAGATCACAGAAGCTGTAAGAAGATTTTCTGGGCAAGCTCTGAAAGAGGTGGAGGAAGGAAAATATCTAGCTGTGGGCTTCCTAAGGTAAACTGCAGTAAGAGTGCAAAGTACATTAGGTTTGGTGGATCACAAAAATAATGTTTAGAGCAGCAAATGATAGATTTGAATTTGGCACTGTAGCATTTTTTTTATTTTATGTATTTTCTGCTTTTTTTTATGCATAGTCCTTGATTGAGGCTTTTTATTGTTTGAAAAATGGCTGAGAGGTTTGAGACGCTCATTAGTAACAACTTTTTGCTATGTTGCTCCTGAGGCCTTGCCTACACTAAAGAGAAAAGTTGATCTAAGCTACGCAATTTGAGTTACATGAATAGCGTAACTCAAATCGACGTAGCTTAGATCTACTTACCGCGGGGTCCACACTATGCGATGTCGACTGGAGACACTCTCCCGTTGACTCCCCTTACTCTTCTCGATCAGCTGGAGTACAGGAGTCGATGGTAGAGTGATCGGCAGTCGATTTAGAGGGTCTTCACAAGACCCACTAAATCGATCGCCAGTGCATCGATCGCCATAGCGTTGATCCTCCGGTAAGTGTAGACAAGCCTTAAGTGACTGTTGCTGCTATGGGGAGTATCGACAATTCACAGTAGGGAAAGTGTTCCCAGGGAAAATTTGCTCATAAGCAGCATTTGCACTTACAAGGTTTTGCTGCAAACAAGCATCTACTGTACTGGACGTGTAAATTCGTTTTCATGGTACATTTTGTAACAATACTGTATCACTATTCCCCCTTTAAAGGGGCTGAAATCATTGAAAAGGTCTAGAAACCATTCAAATCCACATAAACATAGTTGGGGTATCAAGGCAAAGCCAAATCAAGTGCTCTTTGTTCCAATATGGATGCCATAGTGAAATGAAGCAAAACAATACTGATTTAAAAGAGATAGAACAGAAGTATATGTACCTATGCTGAGCAACACACTTGGTCCATTATACAACATTTTACTGCATTTTTATCCTTAAAAACGAACTATCCATGGTGTCATTGGAACCTCTGTTAGAGGATCAACATTAAGTAATACAACAATTAATTAGCACATTATTAGCACTTTTCATCAGATCTCAAAATTGCTCAACTCTGAAAATCCATGCCCAACCCCATTGTTCTGATTCAGTATCAAAACTGGGAATAGAGCCCACACCTTGACTGCCTGTCTTCTCGACAACTCTTATGTTCTACAGTGTTAAGGCAGTGTGGCGGAGTTAGGACTTTTCAAATGCTTTCTTGTTTGTAGTTTATAAGGAATATTTCATAGTTCTTTGTATGTTTCTTTCAGGATGGGTGACAGGACTGACTACAGAGCCTGTCCATAGAGAAGGCGGATTTGGTGAAGAACTAAAGATAAGCCAAGAGATGCAGAACAAGATTTCATCCTTAAGGTAGCTTAAATAAAGGAAAATTTTAAAGAAGGCTAAGTATGAAATGTGACCCATGTTTACAACTGTGGTGATCTGGGGGAGTAATCCCCTGGAAATGAAAGTAATGCTATCAGCTTGTGATGCATACTTTTGTGTTACCCCTGGAACTATCAAAACGCCTAGAAATTTGTAAAGGGGAAAATATGTATATTTACAGTGTGTTTATTTTTTGCATCTGGTATAACAGAGAGAGAGAGACAGTGGGTGAGGTAATATCTTTTATTGGACTGACTTCTGTTGCTGAGAGATACAAGCTTTAGAGCAGGGGTTCTCAAGCTGGGGGTCAGGACATGTCAGGGGATCGTGAGGTTATTACATGGGGGGGTTGCGAGCTGTCACCTTCTACTCCAAACCGTGCTTTGCCTCCAACATTTATAATGGTGTTAAATATATTTTAAAGTATTAGGGCGGTCGCACTCAGAGGCTTGCTATGTGAAAGGGGTCACCAGTACAAAAGTTTGAGAACCACTGCTTTAGAGCTACAGAGAGGAGTTCTTCAGGTCTGGAAAAGGTACTGAAAGTATCACAGCTAAATACAAGATGGAATAGATAGTTTAGCACATATTCTAAGGGACCATTCATTCAAGGTGAAGTGGCGTGTTAACCGCTCTGTAGTTATAGGACAAAAAGGAGGGTTAGTGGGTTGCAGATTGTTGTAATAAACCATAAATCCAGTGTCTTTCTTAAAGCCATGATTCTTAGTGTTTAGCAAAGTTATGAATTTAAGTGCCCAGGCTCATCTTTTGAAAGTGTTGTGCAAGTTTCCTTTGAGGATGAAGTCAGATAGGAGTGATTGCCTTGTGTTTTGTCTTTTATTGTTTTCTTGTGTGTGAGCTCATTCAAAAGAATAGTGATTGTCTGGTTTCATCCACATACTTGTTGTGGGGCATTTAGTGCACTGGCTGAGGTTCACCACATGTTATATGCATGTGTAGGATCCAGGGATCTTGAAAGGTGTGTTGAGGGAGGGTGTTGATCATTTTAGCAGTGGAGATATGGCTGCAGGTTTTGCATCTGTTTTTCTGGCAGGGTCTGGTGCCACTTTGAGTTGGTGTGTTCTGGTCTGTGGGGAGTTTGCATCTGATGATGAGGTTGGGGGGTTGTTTGAAGGCCAGAAGAGGGAGTTGTCTCCACAACAACACTGCATAGCACATTGTATACAAGGCCGGCTCCAGGCACCAGCTTGCCAAGCAGGTGCTTGGGGCGGCCACTCCAGAGAGGGGCGGCACGTCCAGCTATTCGGCGGCAATTCAGCGGACGGTCCCTCATTCCCGATCGGAGCGAAAGACCTCCCGCTGAGTTGCCGCCACAGATCGTGATCGTGGCTTTTTTTTTTTTTTGCGCTGCTTGGGGCGGCAAAAACCCTGGAGCCGGCTCTGATTGTATAGTCAGTTTCACTCTTCTTTGATTTGCTTTCCCATTGCCCTACTACACTACCTGGCTGCGGCATCAGTGTGTCTTTTTTGCATATTCTGAAGAAATGGTTTGGGCCTGTTTATCTAACTTTGGAACATGTCACAGCAATGTTATACAGTAGAATCTTGTAACTTTACTTACAATGTTGCCATACATATTTTACCAGGACAGTAATGTTCAGCAGATTATGAGTTCTCAAATGATACCTCACAAGGCATACTTTGTACAAAATTTATCATAGTTTTGTAAAAAGGAAGAACATAGGGATATTGTCCATCACAACATGCCCTTCGATTAACTTAACTATCAGGGTAAGTTAATCACAGCCACCCACCTAAAAAAAAGGGGGTATGAAACTACCCAGAAGTTTTGCACTGACTGGACAGAGGCTTTGCTGAGTCCTTACTTGGATAAGGGGTGTGCATGTGTGCGTGCATGTGTGTAAGAAGGTAAGAGTAAGAAAGGCCAGAGTAAGAAAGCCGAACAGTAGCCTGTAAACTCAGTGCAACCCTGAAGAAACCTAGAGAGAGGTTTGGGTCAAGGATGCTAGCTGAACAAAGCTTGAGCCTGTAAGCTACGAAACTGCTTCTTTTGATTTTGGTCCCTCCTGCATTCAGAGAAGCAGGATTTTGTACATTCCTTGTAAATAAACAAGAAATCACCAGACTCCACTGTCAAGTTCTACTCCCAAGTGGGACATCCCTAAGGCCCCAAACTTTGAGTAGCTGTGTAGATCCAAAAGCAGTAACAATATTTCACGTTTTATCAAAGGAGGATATTGAATATTAATATGTAGTGGTCATTGAGATTTCACATCAGGAATTTATTGTTAGAGGAAATTTTGTTCTCCTTCCTATATCCTCTTGAAATCTCTCTACTCTTAAAAAGAAAAATATATTGTTATAACATGTACATTTCCTTATTTTGTAATTTAGATGATGTTTGGAAAAAAATGCTTTGCTATATGATATCTGTGGAAGGGTGGCTGGTGACTTTATTCCTCTTTGTCCTAACTGGAAAAAAATGAGGAAGAGAGTCACTTTGCAGAAACAGTAGATTGAGTTTCTAGGGCATCTCTGTGAAAAAGTTACCTTCAGGATTTTATTTTTACATCTGACAATTTTTCTTTCTTAGGAATGAGTTGGAACATTTACAGATAAAGGTCTTGCAAGAACGTGAAAAATACCAGCAGTCTTCTCGGTCCAGTACTGCTCTTTCAGCAGTACCTGCATTTAGTGTGAATGACAAGTTTACATTAAATAAGGATGATGCCAGCTACAGTCTTATCTTAGAGGTGCAGACAGCAATAGATAATGTCTTGGTACAGGTGAGTGATGTTTTAAGACCTGGAATCAAACAAAAATGTATGACTTTAAAACTAAACAATGAAGAAAATTGTAACATTTATTTTTTGATCCAGAACACTGTTAGCTGGTTGTTGCTTACTGAATTAATATATATATTTTTTAATTTGACAAGTTCAGTTTTAAAGAACTTCTTTAATGCTAAAAGCCTCTTTCAGTTTGTTTTAATACTGGGTCAGAACCACATTGAAATACAGGTTTTATAAATATCTAGATTGTTATAAGACAAAACTGCAGTTTATATCTTATTGAAAAAAATATTATTTGTAAACTTTTCATGTGCTCTTAAAGAACAGCTAGAATTTAAACACTTTTAGTGTAATGGAAGATTATAATTTTATACTAAAATAAAACTCAGACATATGGCATACAATTATCAGCAGGCTGATGTGGAACTTCTGGGTTTATTCTTGGGCTTCACTTTTTTTAATAAGTGTAGCAAATAAAATAAAAAATATAGTTCAGAATCTTGAATGTGGTGTTCGTACTGAATTGTGATATGTTGGTGTTCTGTAGGTCACTTTGGTGTCCTCGGTACTGACCAAGTTGCATTAGAACATTATAGGTCACAATCTTACCATATGATCTGCCTGGGTTGGCATCTGCCTGGGATTTGGCAGGGTTGTAACGGTCCATCAACCTGGATTAGATCACAGGATGCAATCCTAGTTTGTAAAAGCATGAATTTGAAGTATGACTGTGGTGAGGCTGGACTCCCTTCCAAAAGGAGGCCCAGTTTGTCAAAGGAAAACGAAAACCAGGTTTGTTTGTTTTCTGGTCCTCTCTCTTTTTCTCAGGCACTTGGCAAAAGCAGAATCTTCTGTTGCTCTTGGAATACTCTATGGGTGAAATGCTGGCCTTATTGAAGTCAGTAGCAAAACTCCTATTAATGTCAGTAGGACTGGGATTTCACCTTATAACTGGTTCGGCTTTTGCTGAGTCTTCAGTGGAAATGATTCCTCTAAATTTAAAAATGTAATTTGTTTTAGAACATTCTTATCAAAATACCTTTCCTTTTTTAAAAAAATCAATACTTGAGGTGAGGTTCCCTTGTAATATTTACCATTCCTGCAGGTGGGGAGGATGGTAGGATGTAATTATGCAGAAGAAAATCTGATTTGTACATAGCTGTTTCTAAATATTTTCCCATCTACAACATCTTAAATTAGTTATTCCTTCGATCATATCAGTTGGAGTGAATGTTATCTTTAACAGTCAAAGGAGTAGGTACCAAGATAACTAGCTTTGAGGCATATACAGGGAGAAAAATTGTATAAAGTGTTTGCTAAGGGGAAGCTGAATATAGGTAAGCTGACCAGGTTTTTAAAAAAAACACACACACAATGACATGACATTTTTTCATTGGTGTCTGGTGGAAACATCTTCTTTGATGGTAGGTTGACTCGTCAAATGGAGCCTAATTTGCTGAATGTTGTCTGCACTTGAATGGCACCTCTTAGTCAGGGCTGGTCTACACTATACACTTACACTGGCATAGCTATATCTCTCAGCACTGTAGAAAATCCACACCACTGAAAGACGTAGCTATGCCACCCTAACCCCCAGTATAGACAGCGCTAGGTCAACAGAAGAATTCTTCCATCAACCTAGCTACTGCCTTTCAGGGAGGTGGATCACCTACACCAGTGGGAGGGTTCTCCCATTGGCTTAGGTAGTGTCTACACTGAATCACTACACTGGCACAGCTGTAGCTGTGCTGCTATAGTGTTTTTTAGTGTAGAGAGAGCCTCAGTTACATCATGACTAAATGCTAAACTTAATTGATTTAGGCTTGAATTTAATGCGGAGGTTAGCGTTTGTCTACATTATGGGGACTACACTAGCATAGCTATGTTGGCATAACCCCAGTGTAGATGTGGTCTACACTGAAAGGCTACATCTACGCTTAAAATGCTACAGTGGCATAGCTGCTGCTGAGCAGCAGTGTCCCTGTATTACTTCAGCATAGACACTCACTACAGTTGGAAGGATTCTCCCGTCACTGTAATTATTCCACCTCCCCAAGAGGTGGTAGCTAGGTTGACAGAAGAATTCTTCTGTCAATATAGCACTGTCTATACCAGGGTTAGGTTGGCATAGCTACATATCTCTGGGTGTCGACTTTTTACACCCCTGAGAAACATAGCTATGCTTATGTAAGTTTTCAGTGTAGGCCAGTCCTGAAGCAGTTTTCTATCAACCTAGCTTCCTCTTACACTGGGGGTTAGGTAGGCCTAGCTATGTCAGTTGGGGTATGGATCTTTCACACCCCTGACTGACATAGCTATGTTGACCTAAATTTTAAGTGTAAACCAGCTTTAGAGTTCTAAAGTAGCAGTATACACTGGACAATGCAACAATGCTGTTATTCCATTGGAAGCACTGGGATATTGTGGCTCACAGAATTGTATATGAAGCTACAAAAATAGCATTTCAGCCAGAGTAATTTAAAGAAACCATAATACTGTAAAGCCTTTTCATTCCCATATCCAAATACTGGCTGTTCTCACTTCAAAGCAGGTGAAACAAATCTAGAGCAAAAAGAAGTTAATTGTGTCCAACTTTTAAAAAGTATTTTAAAAAGTAAAAAGGCAGTTTATGCAGATCTATTTTGATACTTTGTTTCCGAATGAGATTTAGTAGTCTGTGTATTGGAGAGAGGCATCCCAGTCATGAAATTAATGCATTTGCTATTTTATTTAGCTTTTCAAAGGTATACATCTTACATTAGCTAATATGAGAACCAATCTCCAGTTACAAGATGAAGTTTAAAACATCACAAATAAGATAGACTTGGAAGATAAAGATCTCCAAATTGTCCTGGGATTTAAATTTAACAAATATGCTAAACATCTATTTAATCTTTTACCCTTCTCAAATTAAGATTATCAAACAATTATATTGCATCTTCCTCACTAATATAATTGATTATAATTAGAGGATATATATATACACTAGAAACTATTCAGAAGTTTATGCTTTTTTCTCCCCACCTCTTCCCTTTAAATGTTCTGCACAGAGTGATGTTCCAATAGACCTACTGGATGTGGATAAAAATTCTGCTGTTGTTAGTTTTAGTGGCTGTGATTCTGAAGTAAGTAACACAAAAAGGTAACAAAAAGGTAAAGATAATCGTCATACTTGTATAGAGACTACTGGATGAAAGCTGTTAACTGCTATGTATTAGAATTTGGATTTACAGATTCATACTTTAAAGTCCTAGGAGTTACAATAATTTATTTAATGGCTGAAATTAAATAAAATGTTGGGAGGTAGGAAGTTTTGGAAATCCAGTTTTGCTGGTAGTACACCTCTACCTCGATATAATGCTGTCCTCGGGAGCCAAAAAATCTTACCGCGTTATAGGTGAAACGGTGTTATATCGAACTTACTTTGATTCACCAGAGTGCACAGCCCCGCCCCCCCGGAGCACTGCTTTACCACGTTATATCAGAATTCGTGTTATATTGGGTCACGTTATATTGGGGTAGAGGTGTATAATAGATGTCAACTTTCGGTCCAGTATATTTCTTTACTGAAAGTTATTAGGCAAAGAGCACTATATATTTATACGGGAGAGTCGCATCTTACGCGGGGGTTTGGTTCTAAAGTCAGCGCGTATGGGGAAAAATTACCCTTGAAAATCCCTTAAATCGCCCATAAAGTACAGTACTGTATACTGTACATGGTTTTGTGTATACAACCGTATACAGTAATGTATAGAATAGAGTACATATGCAAAATATAATTTTACAGTACTGTATTTTTAATTACAGGGGGAATTACAGGGGGTCGTCAGGGCTTGATGTCAATCCAGGACACAGAGGTGTCAGAGAGCTTGGGTGACGGAGAGCGAGTCGTAGATGAAGTGGTTGGCTCTGGTTCAGCTCGAGAAGTTGATGAGCCTACGCAATCTGCTGCTGATTGGTTTTCCTTGAAAAACATGGTGATCGGCAACTGTCGCTGTTGTCTCTTGAGCTGCTCAAACATTTCTTGATACGGTCTCAAATAGTCTGTAATACTACGTGTGATTTTGAGGCTTCGTTCCATAGAGGGATCGTATTCAGAAATTAAATCATTCAAATGTTTCGCTGCTTGGAACACTTCAGCAAATTTATGAAGATTCCAACTTGCTGGCTCTTCCTGTTCATCGTCATCATCTTCGTCTTCTGTAGACTATTTTATCAGTTCCTCTAACTCTTCGTTAGTCAATGTTTCTCTATGGCTCTCAATTAATTCTTCAATTTCTTCCTCAAGGATGTCGATGAAGCCATCACCACCCACTTGCCTGGTCACCTGAACAATACATTTCACTTCTTTGTCAATGGTCGGGAAACCCTTAAAATCATTCACACATTCTTTCCATAGGTTTCGCCAACATGCATTGACTGTTTCAGGCTTGATTGCATCCATTGCCTGTTTAAGTGATGCAATCGGCAGTGTTGAAGGACTTCCAACACTCCATCACATTAAGATTGGGATCAGCATCCATAGCGCTACGTATCCGTGAGAACGTAAGCTTCGTGTACGTGGCCTTGAAACAGCTAATCACGCCTTGGTCGAGAGGATGGAGGTGGTATGGGGGGGGATAGGAGAAAGATGACTTCAATATCATTATGTGCAAACCAGAGTGCTGCAAGGTGGCCAGGAGCATTGTCTACGATCAGCAACACTTTAAAGTCAAGTCCTTTCTCTTCGAGGTACCGCTTGACCTCCGGAATGAAACACTTGTGGAACCAATCCAGAAATAATGCTGCCGTCACCCAAGCCTTTTTTATTTGATTGCCAGAACACAGGCAGGAGATATTTTTGGTCTTGCCTTTTAGGGCACAGGGATTTGCAGACCTGTAGAGCAAGCCCGGCTTTATTAAATGCCCAGCCGCATTGCCACAGAACAACACAGTCACACGGTCTTTAGCTGCTTTGAAGCCAGTCTTTGAAGACTTTCTGATTTCGAAATATAAGTGTGGTTGGGCATTTTTTTTTCCAGAAGAGCCCAGTCTCGTCAGCATTTAAAAACTTGTTCCAGAAGATAGCCCTTTTCTTCTATGATTTTCTTTAATTGTTCGGGGTAGGCTTTTGCTGCCTCTTCATTGGCAGATGCAGCTTCACCAGTAGTCTGCACGTTTTTGAGGTTGAAGCAGTTCCTAAAACTGTTAAGCCAACCTTGGCTGGCTTTGAATTCCTTCTTATCAGAAGGCTGTCCCTCTTCGGCAGGAGGTTTGAACAGCGTGTAGAGGCTAAGAGCCTTTTCTCGCAACATATTGCCATCGATGAGCAAACGTTTATGGTTCATGTCTTCCAGCCATAAGTTTAATGCCTTTTCAGTCTTCACTAAAGTCTTATCACGCACCTGGCTCGTCACCTTAGCAATTATTGGCGCACTTGATGCTACAGCTTGACGAATTTCTCTCTCTTGAATCTTGATGGCACGGATGCTAGATTCATGCGGCCATATTTATGCGCCACATTGGAGAACGACATACCGTCTCTCAATAAGTCCAACACAGCCAGTTTTTCCTCCAGCGTTGGAACAGATCGCTGTTTATTCGATTGAGCACCAGATGAAGTAGTTGGCTTGCGTTTAGGGGCCATGTTGTACAAAAAATACGTATCTTTAAACACTAGACTCGCACTCAGCGCGGCGAGATGCTCACAGTATGAGAGGCACGCAGGAACTGAGACGGACTGAGGGAACAGCAGATTCACGTCTCCTACCTCACGCTCACTCCGGGGCATACTCTCATTTACAGGTGTCTTGGTTTTTTGGGGTTTTTTTGTTTTTGTTTTTTTTGCCGAGCGCGTATAGTTGAATTCACGTAAGTTAAATGCGCGTATGATGCGACTCGCCTGTACTTACTGTATATCTTTAAAATGTAAAATTGGCATCATGAGACTGCTGTATTCCAGATATTCTCATGTTTGACTAAATACATTATTTTTATACATACTGTTTTCTTAAAAAATCATTTCAGAAATGAAATTAGCATTATGAAGATCTTTTGAAGTCTTTTCCCCCCCACAATTGTCTTCTAAATATTTTTGGTTTGTTAGTGACTAATTTGGCACATCAAAGATTTATCCTTAAGATTACAGAAATTAACTGCTTGCTTTGAATTTCTTAATCATTCTGGGTGATCATTACTTTGGCTTATGTTGCTTTAGCCTACAGTGTGTTTTCTGACTAATTTTTCTTTGCATAATTAGGATAATTTAGCTTGTCAGATCCTGGGCTGAGTCAATATCAGGAAAACTGGTAGATTATTGTATCTTTTAATTTTGCAGAATGGAGTTTTCAGATATATTTTCTTTTCAGTTTTAACAAAGAGTTCAATAGATTTCCTATTTTTTATCTTTATAGAGAGAGCTGGTATTTACTAATACAATATGGGGTGAAATTCTGGCCCTACTGAAGTCAGTGGCAGTTTTGCTATTGACTTCAGTGGAACCAGGATTTCACTTGTTTACTTTTCATGTAACAGTTTTTCATAGATAGCAAAAACTGTCACTATGCTGCTAAAATTTTGATGATGAAACTTTTATGAATTCAGAAATATTTTTATTTATTTATTTTGTTTTTCATTTTGAATTGTTCACAGCCAAACAGCAACTTTCTCCTTGCCACTTACCGATGTCAAGCAAATACTACTAGACTGGAGCTTAAGGTAAAGATGCTACAAAATATTTTCCTGTACTTTTCAAAAATGTGTTTTATCTAGGAAATGTAAATATGTATCTTGTGCTATGCTTTCGTGCACACAGGTTGAATGAGTGGGTTGAATGTGTTAACTTGAGCAAAATGACTAGTCCAGCGATTCTTATATCATAGAATCATAGAATATCAAGGTTGGAAGGGACCTCAGGAGGTCATCTACTCCAACCCCCTGCTTTTTGAAAAAAGAGAGGCGGAGCCAAGAAATCACCAATGAGTCTAGAAACAGACTTTCTCTGAGTACCTTCAAAAAGGATGAAGCAGGGAGAGAAGTGCCAGGAAACAGAAGTTAGAAACAATAAGGGGAAAATGTTTCAGATTTTGGAATGGAAATTAATTCAGTTTTAAAGCTTGACTATATATTTACATACTTATAAAATCAAATGCATAGTTTGGTGTTTTTTTTTTTAATCTTAAACCATTCATAGAACTATAGAAATGTAAGATTAGAAGGAATGTCGAGAAGTAACCTAGTCCAGCCCTCTGCATTGAGGCAGGACCAAGGAAACATAGATCATCCCTGAGTGGTGTTTGTCTAATCTATTCTTCAGAAATCTCCATGATCGGGTTTCCACAAACTCCTTCAGTATTCCAGAGCTTAGCTACTCTTTTCCTAATATCTGATTGAAATCTCTCTTGCTGCAGATTAAGCCAATTACTTCATGCTCTACATGGAGAACAGTTGATCATTGTCCTCTTGAAATACGTTAAAGTTGTTATAAAGACATTTTTTAATCGGGTGACCATTTAGTCTTCTTGTCTCAAGACTAAACATGCCCAGTTTTTTCAACCTATCCTCATAGGTGAGGTTTTCTTTCATGTTTTTTTGTTTTTGTTTTTGTTTGTTTTGTTACTTTCCTCTGGACACACTCTAGTTTGTCCACATCTTTTCTCAAGTGTGGTGGTCAGAATTCGACACAGTACTCCAGCTGCGGCCTCACCAGTGCCAAGTAAAGTGGGACAATTACCTCCTGTGTCTGGCATATGGCACTCCTGTTAATACACCCCAAAATGACACTAGCCTTTTTTAGAAGTGCATCACATTGTTGACTCGTATTCAATTTGTAATCCACTATAACTAGAGCCCAGCAACTCTACGGATATCCACTTCATATCTGTGAATATCCACAGACCGTGTTTACGGATAACAGATTGGATGCAGATACAAATTTTGAATTCGCACAGGGCTCTAACTATAACCCCTAGTTTCTTTTCAGTAATACCACCACCTGGATAATTATTCTGCATTTGATTTTTCTTTCCTAAGTGTAGTACCTTGCACTCAACTTTATTAAATTTAATCTTGTTGAATTCAGACCAATTCTCCAGTTTGTCAAAGTCATTTTGAACTCTAATCCTGTCCTCCAGAGTGTTTGCAACCCCTCCCAGCTTGGTGTCATGTGCAGTTTTTTAAAAGCATACTCTTCACTCCATTATCCAAGCCATTAATGAAAAGATTGAATAGTGACAGCAACCAGCCCCCTGCGACCCCACTAGATACATCTCCCAGTTTGATCATGAACCACAGATAACTACTCTGGGTATGTTTTTTCTACCAGTTGTGCACCCACTTTATAGTAGTTTCATCTAGACCACATTTTCCTAGTTTGCTTAAGAGAATGTCATGTGGAACAGTGTCAAAAGCATCACTAAAAGCAAGAAAAAGATCATATGCTTAACTTGAAGGTGAATAGCCTCCTCAATGGGACTGTTGACCTGCTGCTTATGTGCTCAGTGATGTGGGAAATTCACAAAGTTCTATAGCTGCCACAGGAAAGATGAGAGCTCACAAATAGGATCATGTTAAGGAGAAGAGATGATCTATAAGGCACTCACTTATTCTCTAGTCTTTTTCTTGACAGAATCACTCACTATTGCAGCCCTTGTAAGTTTAATATTTATGTACAATTTTTCTGTTTGAGATTCTCAGCAAAAGTATTTATCTTTAGTTATTTTTAAGTGTACAACACAGTTTAATATTTTAATGAGGAGACAACACTGACCTTCTATTCTCAGCTCTACTATAGGCCTGCTGGGTGATCTTGGACAAGTCACTTCCTCTGTGCCTCAGTTTCCCCATCAGTAAAATGGAGATAATGTTATGGCTCACCTTTGTAAAGTGCCTTGCTATCTGATGAAAAGGACTATACAAAGAGCTGGGTGTTATAAAACAAAATATATTGACTAAATGTATTTACAAATTAAGAATCGTGATTTCTACACCACAATTAAAGAATTTATATATTTGCTACCTCCTTATAAATGTGTCCTGGAACATTAGTATCAAATGTGGATTGTAACCTTTTAGCTAGATGTCATCAATATATTTTAATTGTCATTTCTAGTACTCTTAGATTCTGATGTGATGTATCTATTCTGTTTTATATAAATTCTTATATATTACAATAATGAGGGTAGTATAAGCACCTTCCAAGAGTGCATTAAGTGACATGACTGTCACGTGTAATTTGGTCTCTTTTTCATTCACGCATGGGGGATGGGGAAAGAATTGTATGTGAAGTATAGTGTTTTTGTTTGTTTGTTAGTTTAAATGTACACACTGCTGTGTGTTTGTAAGAAAGGCATATTCTAAGAAGTGCACCTTGCACTTGGAGTGGAAGATGGTGAGGATTGTGTTGGTGCTTGGTTCTTGTGTGAGTTCATTCCATAGTCTTGAACTGGCCCCCAAGAGAGCTCTGTCTCCTGCACAGATGAGCTTTACTCTTACAACAGAAACATCAGTTGTACCTGAGGAGCGGAGTTTCTGAATTGCCATTCTTAAATTATCTTTTCTTTTGCCACATATTCTAATATAATTACTTGGCAGTCCTTTCCTCTGTCCTTTTGGCGATATTTGTTGTTTTGTTTTCTTCTAATAAACATCATGGGCTGGATCCTCTCCTTCTAAGGAAGCTTTCTGCCACTCCATTGGTGCAAGGCTGCCCTAAAAGTGGCCACAAGAGGACCTCCCCTGCGTGGAGGGAATCTTTGTATTCAAGTACTTCTGTGGCTTTTGTCACAATATCTGACTGCTTGTGAGGCACTCAGTCACGGATTTTGGCACTTGAGTCAAAGCCCATTGAAGTCAATGGGAGTCTATCTATTGACTTCAATGGATTTTGGATTGGCTCCTTTATCCTCACAACATCCATGTACCTCAGTACTCCCTCCCCT